TCTTTTTTTTCTGGCTGCAATTTGTATTTAAACTCTAGATTGAATTTTGATTAGAGCACTCATTCTCTTCCTTAATTATGGTGCGCCTGTCGCCGAGCACAGTATGTAACGCTCGTTGAAAGGCCAGCTTTCAAGGGCGCCGTGTTCATGAGGCATATTCGGCCGCACCGTTTTGGTAATATTAGACTGCTTTAGCTGGCCGTGTTCACTGCTCGTTCGCCAAGTGCGTCCCATAAAAGCTCGGCTCTGTCTGGTTTGCCGACAACGCACGTGCAGCACAGCGCTTATCAGCTGTAAGTGGGCGGTTTCCAGCTGTATATATAACTCTAGCCCTTTCAAGGCTGTACCGACACCTACAAAACAGCAGAATGTCTGCTCGTATAGTATTCATGACACCTTGAACGCAAACTTTGGTAAGGTTACATAGTACAAAACAGGACAAAGGACACAGAAAAGATTCTATTAGTTTAACAAAAAAAAAAAGGAAGACTACTCTTCTGTAGGTCATCAAGGAGAACTGCCCCGCCGCGGTGGTCTAGTGGCTAAGGTACTCGGCTGCTGACCCGCAGGTCGCGGGTTCGAATCCCGGCTGCGGCGGCTGCATTTCCGATGGAGGCGGTAATGGTGTAGGCCCGTGTGCTCAGATTTGGGTGCACGTTAAAGAACCCCAGGTGGTCAAAATTTTCGGAGCCGTCCACTACGGCGTCTCTCATAATCATATGGTGGTTTTGGAACGTTAAACCCCACAAATCATTAAGGAGAATTGATGTTCCCGCTGAAAACCATGTTGTGAAAAGGATTATCGCAGTAACTGATGCTCCGTTCATTAAATGTACGACCCATATACGCACGCTATTCCGCAAGTCGCACCAGCGTTCAGTCATCTAGAAAGTGTTGAGTGAACGGGGAGAGATGTTGCGCTATCAGGCTAAACTGCACTCCACTGGCTCATTGTGATGATCGATTCCCGAGTATGTAGAGTATGCATGTAGCTAACCGTGCTGTCGGTTAACATTGAGAGGAATGAACTGTGTGGAGGGCTATGTTTAAAGGAAAGAAAAAGAAGGACAAACGCTTATTGGTAACCGTGAGCTATAACAGCAGATTTATTTTAGAGCTGTGTGCAATGGTTGAAGCAGGATTCACAAATAAGTTTGCGAAGTGGCCAGCCCCCCGCCACGATGGTCTAGTGGCAAATGTCATCGAGTGCTGACCCGCAGGTCACGGGATCGAATCCCGGCTGCGGCTGCTGCATTTTTGATGGAGGCGGAAATGCCGTAGGCCCATGTGCTCAGATTTGGGTGCACGTTAAAGAACCCCAGGTGGTCGAAATTTCCGGAGCCCTTCATTACGGCGTCTCATAATCATATGGCGGTTTTGGCACGCTACACCATATCAATCAATCATCGAAGTGGCCAGCCCAACCTTCAGTTACAGTGATTAAATTTGACGAATGTCTGTGATCAAAAAAGAAAAAAAAAGTGTGTTATCACTGAAAAACGTGGACCTTCGGTCATCTTTCAGCACCTAGTTTCCTTGAAGCCGTACTGGAGGTGATACGAACAATAACTCGATGATAATACACATGTAACATGTTAAGTTATATATATATATATATATATATATATATATATATATATATATATATATATATATATATAGTTATAAACTTCGAGAATAGTGCAGTATAGGAAACAAAACAATAAAATATTTATTTAATGCTAACAGTTTCGGCCGGTGGACCAGCCTTCTTCGGAGGATGTAAGTGAAATGATACAAGTTCCCGTAGCAGAGGGTCACCCTCACAGTTTAAAGACCCTCCAAAAAAAAAAAGAGAGAGAGAAAGACAAGCGGGCGAACGAGGTAGCAACAGACAACAAGAAGCAGAAGAAGGAGAGGAACTAGAAAGGAGCGATGGAGAGCCGCCGGAAACGAGCGGGTAATTCTGGCATTGTTACTTGGTATAGGTAAGACGCGCCGCCAGCGGAGGCGACCAAGAAAAACGGAAAAATGTGGAACATGTTGCCGCTTACTCGCATCCCACACATGGATCGAGTTTAAGTTCACGTGGTTCGGCGGCTGGCCCGTGGCATCGGGCCACACACACACACACACACACAAGAAGCATACGACCCGCTCCAGTTTTCGGAATATAATGGCCACGTTGGAAAGCTAATGTGCCCTCTTCCCCTCCCTCCACCGGCCCTCTCTTGCAGAAAAATGTACAACCAGTCATACTGAAAATAAATAAATGGGTATTCTTGTAAAGGATGAAAATATATAAAAATAAATAATACTAAAAAAGTACCCAGAAAGGAAAATAAAGTCTAATAATACTAACACAATCCGTTTGGTTCACGTAGCATCGAATTCGTTTAGTTTCGCTATATTGACCAACTTGCGTGTGCGACTTCACGTATGTATAAATAAATTAATTGAGTAATTCAATTTCTGTGTTTCACGAAACGTCGCGGAGACACGTCAGTCGCCCAGGGCTCTCGTTGATTCCGTGGGTAAGTGATCTGAATTTCTTTATAAAGTATGACTCCCGCTGTTCGCGCTCCCGTGTGTTCTGGAAGCCGGATTGTAGGAGTATGACACTTACGCGTTCGAAAGAGTGACCAGGAAGATTGATATGTTTGGAGAACGGCAAATTGGGGAGGCCCTTTACGTGTGCCCTGTGGTTGTTGAAACGCAAACGGAACGCGGTTTCCGTGTGTCCAATATATTCCTGTTTGCACACCTCACAGCGAATTTTGTATACCACATTGGCTGAGTCACAGTTAAGGTCGTCTTTAATTTTGTACACATAGTCTGAACAGGAGGCCGAAGCCTCCTGTTCACCGAAAAGAAACACCACAGAATTTTGGCGCAAGAAACGAAGAAAGAACAACACACGAAGACAGAAAGAGAGAGAGAGAGACGTGTGACTTCTGAAGTGTACTGGGTCGTGAGTCGTATAGGGTAGAGTGGTTCGGGGACGTTGGCCGGCTACTACCGTAACCATAATGAGCAAAATTACAATGACATGTTAACTATTGTGTGAGAGTTGTGTGTGTATCATGCGGTGCGAAGAAATATTCATCTCTTTTTCACGTATAGGAAACAACGGCGTCAATTTTCAGTATTATTTGCTTTTGTATATTTTATTTCTTCATTTCTTTGCACCGACCCCTATGGGTGTCCCTTCTTGTGAGGCTTCATGTGATCGTAAATTGAAGATATAGAGGTGAAAAGCTAGATAAGCGAATCGGTGAACATGTGGTCAAGGCAGGCAGTGAGCTTTTGATACCGAAGTGCAACTCTTGCACAGTTTATCGGAGACAGTTCGCGCATGTGTGATGTGGCTTTAGAATGCTCGTATACTCCATTACGTCGTATACGTGAGCTTCGTCACTTTGTCAGTCTTTAAAGGACATGCAGCAGCTTGTTTTCTTTGTTACTGTTATTGATGCTTCTCTTGTTGTTCATGCTGTTGCCGTAACTGTTGGAGTAATTGACTATTCTCTCTTGAAGGTTTGTAATTTAACGTCACCAACATTTTGTATTCAGGGGCTGCTAATCAAGAATAATTCTTAATAATTGATAGACTTGAACGTCCCAAAATCACGATACGATTTTGAGAGACGCCGTAGTGGAGGACTCCAGAAATTTCAACCACCTGTCGTTCTTTAACGTGCTCTTAAATCTAAGTACATGGGCCTCCATCGTAAATGCAGCCGCCCAGGCCGGGATTCGATACCGCAAAGTGCGGGTCAGAAGGAGAACTTCATAACCAGGTGCACGTGTTATTGTGGCCATGAAACGATCAATAGCGTGGACAAGAGTACCTGTAAAGGGGTCCGCGAGACGTTGAACAGCCTGTTTTCTGACAATGTTGGCTGACTCGGGAAACTTGCTTGCCGATATTGACAAAATTCGTAATCGCTACATTCGTTGGTTAAGTTGTGCTGCCATTGCGTGTCAGTTTAGCCACAACTAATTGATTGTTTAATTGGCTTGTTAAGTTTGCACGTTACTTTAAGGCGATATACACTCATATCTTGTGTTGTGGTCGTGTTCAATTTTAAGTCGGCAGCAATACTCATATATTTGAAGTGAAACATAAAAACGAATTGTGATTACTTGGTTCATTGGTGACTAACGACAATGATATGCCACTGCCGAAGCCTTACTTATAACCTTGAAATAGTAAACGATACTGCTTTATAGTAACCTGTGCCTTGTCACTGTTAATTTAAGAGCCACTAGGTTGAAGTATTAATTTCAATAAACTCGCGGGCAAGGTACTGAATTACTTTTATCAAAAAAAAAAAAAAAACTAAGAAACCCTGGGGCCACTTAGGTATTGATTGCATGAAGTTGTGGAAAATAGAAATATATTTTATTACATCATGCAACTACGAATCACTGTAGTGGAACAGCCTACTATTTTGGCGGCTTAATTGCTCAAGAAAGTAGGATGTGTAGTTTTGTGGGCTAAGTCCTGCGCGCGAAAGGAACCACAGGGCCGAGAAAGCACGCTTTGAAGCTGTCAGCCGAGTGCCTGTGTGCTCTGTAGTTCGGTGCACAAATGCTTGCCGCATTTCCTGCATGATTCTGTATCGCTGCAGATTGAGGCGTTCCATTTGCCTCCACATGCGCCCTGCATTCGTTGCTGCCTCGAATGAAGTGTTCCGTGCAGCGATGATGGTGGGTAGCTTCTGCGGATGCATTTTCAACCATGAGTGATTTCCCTTTTCCTTAAAACCGAACGTAAATATTCGTTTGAGAGTGTATTTCCGCTTTTAAATCAGGGATGTCACTCCTTAAGCGGAGAACTGTGTTTTGCCTGAAAGGAAAAAAAAATTATTACATCTTCAAAAAACGACACGGACCAATGCACCGCGGGTCGAATGCGTTAAGTGCACTGAGAGGAGCACTACTATATACATGTCGCATGCTGATCGGGCGTGCAGACGGAAATCAGATAACGCAGTAGTTCATCCCAATTTGCGCAGTTCTTCGCCACTGCGTGGATCGCTGTGCTGCACTCAACAGTGGCAATGGCGGCGAGCTACGGCCCCGTCAGCGCGGGCCCCCGCATGGTTCCGATCAGCGTGACTAGGAATCTGCGGAGCAACAGCTATACCGCTACGGGGGTCCTCCAAGTAGCGGGGAGCAGCTTATCAGAGGTCGCCGGGTCGGGCCGTCGTCGCTCGGCAATGCGGAACGGTGCCCCGGGAAGGAAAACACCCGGTGACGACTTCGGAGTCAGCTACATCGGCAGCCCGCCTGGCTCCGAGGAAACCGGCGACTGGACGGATCTGGTGGTTTCCAAGCTGCGCATGCAGGCCAAGCCCAGCCTGGATGCTGAACCGCGGCCTGACAGGCGACGCAGGCCGCCGGCCGCCCCCGCCGAGAAGAAGCCCATCTACGTGCCTCGGTTCGCTACTGCAGCCGGCGCCGCCCCCGACGGCAACGTCGGCAGACGCAGCAACAGTCGACCAGCGCGAGCTAAGTCGCCGCGCTACATGTACTGGAAGACCGTCTCCTACACGTCATTTCCGTACTACGGATTTGGCTACGGACCGTACGGCTTTGGATACGGCTGGAAGCCGTACGGCCCGTGGATGACGTACGGCTAGATGGGCTTCTGAGAAATCGAGCCGCCTGCGGTTCCTCTGTTATTCTCAGCTGTGCGCACCCTGTTAATGCTGACGGAAGTGGCTGTGGAGACTTTCTTGTTTTTCTACCACTTTTCGTCCCTTTTAGTGAAACCACGGCGCACGGGACATGTGAAAATTATAGACCGCACGTGCTTTACGCGGAACTTGAACTTCCCGTTGCTTGCTGGGTCACTCCTTGAAGAGTAAGCGCGGGCTGCATGTGAATAAATGACAACAAAAAAATCGGCAGGCCCTTTGACAGGTACATAGTGAAAGAACACCAGAAAGCTAGTGTATTTATAAAGACCAAAGAACAAGGTAAACTACTCAACTTGAAACAAAAAAAAAAAAACGCAAGGAACCGAAGGTTACACCAGGATCTTTATTTTTACCGTTTGGCGCTCATGAATGAACAAATACTCGAACCAAAAGACATCTATATAACGCCCTTACCTGTTCATTCTTGTTGGTTTTGCACCACCAAACCACCGTGTGCAGCGCAAGTAAAGAGGACACACAGGAAGTTCCTGTCCTGTTCACTAGCGCAGCTCACAATGATGGTTCGTATGTCAAAACTCCAACTCACCCAACAGTCAACTCTTTTAAACAACAGTCAACTCTTTTAATGTTCAACTACCGTATGTTGACTACAGTTACTCAATCATCACTGACTAATGAGATGTGGTCACACAAAAGGCTTTTTTTTTCTTTTTTGTTGTGTAGTATTTGCACGTGGTACACTTACATGTAGTCGGGATCGGCAAAAATATTATATATAAGAATATAAGAATGCTTGCTGGCTTGCTGTTCCAGCTTCGATTATCGGGGCATTGCCATGTGAATTACTGCTAAACTTATATGACTTCATGCCATTTATTGTTGTTGACTATTTGCATTGATAGTTTCTTTCCCATCGTGCCTACCTTGTATGTAATTTAGGCTTCCGAATGTAAGGTAATCTTTTGTCTTCTCCACGTGCAGGTGGCATACAAAACATTTAGTGGAAGTACAGCTTCTTTTTGCTACGGTGAGTTGACTTTTCTCCAGATCTAAAAACTCACACATACTTTGATAGTACCACACTACCCTCTTTTTCTTTCTTTTAATTCCTTCATTCCTTCCCCCAGTGGGGGGTAGTAAATCGGACGTCGTCTGGTTGGTCTCCCTATCTTTCGTAGTCTTCCGGGCCGTTTATTTTGTTTTCGTAAAGGCTCCTTCGTCACTTTACGAAGCATTTTTTCTTTTTTTTCTTGCTATAGGCGTACCCTATATTTCAACGTACACCAGCCTACACGTCTTCCTGTACCTCATATATTTGTATTGTTTGCACTTTGTATCTTGTAGACAACGCTCAATTTCCAGGTGCTCATAGGCTGCTATAGGATACAAGAATAACGTTGTGTGAGAAATATGAAAATGAGTTATGGTTTCAGAATTTAAACGAGTCTGTGAAGCATAGTACGTACACACGCCTCACACAGCCTTACATAACCTCACACTCTTGATGGCGCTGTAAGCATCATTAGGTTAGCATTACAGTTGCCTTTCACTTCGAGAACATTACTTCCGTGCTTAATCCATACTTCTATGTATCTGTGTCTTACAACTGATGCTGTATTTCTCCGCATATTGTGGCTGCCTGATCAGTGAAGATTACTGATCATATATAAATCATTATAGATCACTAATGTTTCAGTGATCTATAAATATCATGAAGCCTAATTAGTCCACCACTGCTCCATGTCTTGATGCTGGAACGACGCCCTGTGTATATAGCGCATACTATATATGCATAAAGAGAAAGAGAGAGGGCGCAAGAGAATGGAGCCGTTGTAGTTAATAGTTCCCTCAGCAGTAAAACTTATTCAATTGGGATCTCGGGCGTAAAACTCTATATAGAACGCTATACATACCCATATCCCGAAGAAATATATTTTATTTATTACATACTGCATGTCATTGACGCACCCAGGCAGGGTAAGTATACACATCGAAATAAGAGAGAGAAAAAACGCGAAGCGTTGAAAGCGTATACAAATTGCAGTATGGCATCTAAAAAGTAGAACAGATAGATCATATTCAATCGACTCAATCTTAGTTATTATTACTTGTGTTATTCTATTCCATTCGTTATTGTTCTAGAAAAGAAGGCATTCTCACAGGTATGAGTTCTGGCGTAGTAAGGCAGATTTTCATATGTCGTATTAGTCTGTAGCTAGTGAAGGTGTGTTAATTGTACAGGCCCTCGTCGGGGTCGATAGCAAGCTTGTTAGTTCCCACAAGCTCTATCCACAAGTTAAACATCGTTTTCACGGTCCACCAGCACAAGAGAGCAATGCATGCGCGTGCGTCATACTAGTCGGCCTCGCTCCAACGCCAGATCCCCTTGTTTATACGAGGTGTCATGAATTTATAACGTGATTGGCTTTACCATGCGTTAGTTGCATTCATGTTCATTGTGAAAGAAAAGAAAACATTTCTGTGTAGTATTAACGGCCCCATCGATATAGCCACGTGTTATCGTGCTATCTGTTATTTCCGTCTATCTTCTTAAGTAGCTTCGTGTTGTCCTCCACTATAGGTCTTTACACTGAAATATATTCCACAAAATTTTTCTGTTTACGCCGTCGTATGAACACCACTAGCATTCAGAAAAGTTGAGTATAAACGATTATTCTTTGCACTTCCTTGTTGTATGGAAAGTATGTGATTATGTTTTCGTCTGTGCGCCTATTCTAATAATATTCCCTAGTTTTCTAATGTCTCAAGTAATATGGCATAGGTTGTTACCCACGTGCTGCTGACGATATCGCACATAGGAAAAGCTGGGAGAGGTGGAGAAGAGTGGTCAAGAAAGAGAAGCGGAGTAACGCACGGAAGATAAAACTACTCACGAATAATTCGCTACACTGCACCGGGGAAAGAGGATTGTAGGGACAAAAAGCGAAACTAGTTTTTATAGGTGTAAGCTTGCTACTGAGCTGGCACAATCTTTCGAGCCGGGGTCAAGTGGTTCCAATGAACGGCGAAAAGCATCGCAAATGCAGATAACCCGCTCATTCATTCATTCATTTTTCAAAAGTTCCCATGAACAGCCGTTGTAAGGAGCACTTGTGTTACACAAAGAACAGGAAAAGCGCATAAATGTCAAGAAAACAGTGGTACAATAACACAGAAGAAAAAAAAAAGAAAAAAAATAACAAGAACAGAAATCGGACAGAGCAAACGCAATGGCTAAAAAACTTTCAAGATCCTGATGAAGGTATTTTGGTGTGTTAATTTTGCGCGCGGTAGTGTTTGTGCAACACATTGAATCTGCGTAGAAATTACTTTTGATTTCAGCCCGTATTTAGTTGGTGCCATCGTAAGTGCAATCATTTGAGTTATTTGCTGCACGTAATGTTCTACATTTCTGGCACCGTCATTGCGGACATTCAAGATACAACATTCCATTAGCTGGTGCGGAAGCCGAGATTCAATCGAGTGTGTGTCATTTTATGAAAATGTCTGAACAAAAGGCGCCACGAGGGACATTTTCGCTCTCAGATGTTCTCTCGGCAAAATCGCTTTTCCTTGAAGTCGTGCAAGAAACGCAACCTTTTGGCCTTCAATGCAAAGTCGAATGAAAAGTAAAATAGAATTCATATTGAGTGTTTTCCTACGTGTTGGTGATAGCGAACGATTTTTTTAGTTACATCATCCTCGAAGTCCAATTATACAATGGCGGAATGATGCGCCTTAAGGGCTTAAGCAGAACTATCAGTTTTTTTTTGGTAAGATAGTCACAAAAATACGACGCACAAATATGGCGTCAGCAGTTCCTTTTCTCTTGAGTCGATATAACGTGTAAAGTTTTTGTTATTGCAAAAACGTTGAAATAGCACACCACGAAAATACAAGACGGCACAGCTGGTACATACAACTCTCAGTTTCAGTGTCAAATGCCAACACACTGCCGACATTTGTCATGCATGTTATAAGATATTCGTATAATAAGCTTATCAAACAGCTGCGCGTTTGCGGACTTGTTCTTGCGATGTGATTTTTGTTTTGTCTTACTTTTTAAAACTGTTTCCTTTATTTCGAAAGCATGCTTATGACGAAGTTGACATCTGGTTGGCGTAGGCGTCAGTGAAACTGTTTGCCTATATTTTCACTACACAATCAACTGTGGGAAAGAACGTCGACCTTGCTTAGGATTTATGAATACACCGCTATCCAATAGGTTCGCGAAACTGGCTTTCTGCCCACTCAGTTCTAAGTGGGGATCACGTCAGACGTCTTACGCACCTGAGTGCCTATAGGTTTCCTACAGATCATTATGCGGAAGAAAAAACAGGCAAAAATACACCGTCCGAAGCATAAATATCATTTATTTAGCTGATGCAGTGACCGCTCGTTAAGAAGCCAATCACACTTGATGTATTTTTTCTTTTTTTTTTCTTGTCACACACAATTACTACCACACCCACTGTGCTCGTGCGGATTCCCGTGGCGGCTTACAGGACATTTTGGCACGTCGGCAAGAAATTCTTTTCCTACTTCTAACGCATCGTTTGTAGAACTGCTTGTATATCGTAGAATAGTTATGAACGCCTCTACTATTGAGCAGTGTCAGGGCAACAGCGATATTTAACGCAAAAGTTCTCTTCGACCCCCGAGAGTGCAACATAGGTCGTGGAATTCAAAAAGATAGAGTTAATCATGTTGATACTTTCGCTGCTTTCCGACATTATTTAAATTCACAGCCCACTGATAAACCTTAAAATCTAAAGAGATTGTCGGCCATGGGGGTTTAGCGGCCACGGTGCTCGGCTGCTCACCCGAAGACTTCGATCACGACTGCGGCAGCCGCGTTCCGATGAAGGCACAATTCTGGAGGGCCGAACAGTACGATGTCAGTGCATGCTGAATAACACCAGTTGGCCGATATTTCCAGAGCTGTCTACTGTGGCGTGCCTCACAGTCATGTCGTGGTAGTGGTGGGGAAAACCACAGATATTAAAGTATACTGATACTCGGAATGCGTATTGAAGTGGACATGCATGCGTGTGTGATCATGTCTATGGGTGTGCATGCAATTACGTATGAATGTATCGTGCACAGAACAAACATACGAGGGTGTTTTGAACGACATTACATGATTCACGGCGCAACAGAACAATGTGTGCGCCGGGAATGAAAAACCTCTGCTTGGCATGACGACAGTTATAGCACGAGAACAGAACGACGACAACTATCGTCA